CGTCCTCCGCGGGGTAAAGGGCCTTGGTGCTGGTATCGGAAAGGGTCAGGCTCTTGCCCGAGCCCTGGTAACTTTTAGTGAGGGGCTTGATGACGGCTGTTTGGTTGCAGGCCGTCTCATTGGTCTTCACGTGCACAGAGAGGCGGTGCCACGTGTGCTGTCCCTGGGGCACCTGTCTTCCACCTGGTTCAGACCATGACACAGACTTGCCATTAGAACTATGAACAAAATAGAGATGGGGTTTATTTGCAGACACAGCGTGCGCACGGGACAGAATACATACAAATCATTTTTGCAAGCCCAGCTCAACGCAGCTGGACTCGCCCCCCCGCTGTCCCCACGCCCCAGCCTCTCCCGCTCACGGGTTCAGTGCTAAAAGTGGCAGTGACCCCGGGCGGCCTCTGGAACTGCAGCCAGCGGTCTCACCCACCCCAAGACAGGCAGGGAATTCTGGCCCTGAGGGGAGAAAAGCCAGCCTGCTGTAGAAGCGGCTTTTTTCATGTAGGTTTAAGATTTCACCGAGTTACTGCACAATCTCACACACACGCACACGCACTCTGAGGCAATGATAAAGTCGGTGCTCAATGCGAGTCTTAAAAGGATTCCAAAATTGATGGAGGAAACAAATTAAAAATCAAATCCCAGTTCCACATGAAGAAGAGAAGAGTGACCGTAGCTCTCGCCTCCCTTTGCTTTTAGTCCCTGGAACAAATTCAAAGCCACAGATAAAGCTACTCTCATGGCCCTGGGCTTACAGCACACATGCTCTCAGTCCCCCACTCTGACACGCAGAGCGGCCCGCTCACACACATGGCACCTGTGCGGGAGAGAGAACAAGCAGACGGCAGAAAAGCCCAGACCCAGGCTCCATTCAAGTGCTTCCTAACTTTCGATTTCCCTTTTCTTTCCAAGCTCCCGACACGCGTAATGCATCGCAATTCGCATAAAGGCCCTGATTTGCAGCAGCTGGCGTGGGATTTTCACCCTGGGGCCTGTTAACCAGGTGGGTTTGAAAAGAGAGAGCCGGGAAGCCCAGGGAAACACAGATGCCCTGTCCTGCCGCAGTTCTCTGGCATAGTTTGATACCAACGAGACAAAACCAAGATCCAGACAAAGCAGGACGTATGGACACAAACACCCCTCCCTGGCCTCTTCCTCACTGAACCTCGGTGAGGGGAAATCCTAGGGCAACAACAGCCCCCCAGCCTGACCGACTTCCATCTTCGTGGGACTCTTGTAAAACCAAGTAAATAGAACAGAAGGAGAAGGGAACGAAATATACCGTGTGCGTCGACTGCGGATTCTGTTCTGCATGTGGTAATAACTCTGGGCTCACTTTCGGGCTCTTAGCTTATTTTCTGTGTGACTTTCTAGCAGGTGGTGGTGCCTTACCATGACCTACTATTAATAACACGTGTTAATACTTAAATCAGGAAATATTTTATCTTCTCTTTTATTAGGAGGTTTTTGTTTTTGCTGTTTCTATGAAAACAAGAAAGTAGCACTATGATAACACATTCGAGACACCAAAAGGAATAGGTAAAATGAACATCTTTTAGGTGGATATGTAAAATAGACTATTCTGTATTATAGTCTTTTGTCTGGAAAAAGTAGGAAATGATCAATGTTTAATATAAGAGCTTATTTAATAACTTTGAAAAGACAGGAATGAATGCTTTAAAAATTATATGCATCATGTTTATGATGAGGGTAATGTTTTGACATTTCATATTTTATAATTTGAAAAGTGAAGTGAGCCAAATAAGTACAGGTTCTTGTAAGAATCTTGTAAGATATCTACTATAAAAATTCTGGATATGAAGGTTCTAAAAGAGACATAATAGCTAAAAATTTTGATCTCATTTTTTGGGGAAAGGGTAGTTCCTCCATACATATGATTATCTATGCTATATTTTTAATTGTCTAAGAAAAATCCCATCTCTAAGCTATGGTATAAAAGTTAATATTTCTCTTAACTATATGCTTAATATAGGCCCAGAGAACATATAAAAGCTTGTAAATGCAAGATTACTGACTCATCAGTTTCCACACTATCTTGTTAGAAGAGCTGACTCGTCTGAGTTGAGGAAACTGAAGAACCGGATGGTGGTGTTTCTGGCAAGACAGGGCAGCCAACCAGCCAGCCAGAGACAAGGCCAGAGCCCCCAGTTCCTCCTCTGAATTTCAAACTCTAGGTAAATTCACCTCCCCCTTTCATATTCCTCAATCTCCTTCAGCCCCCAGTTAACTCACTCACAGTTTCTCTCTTTGCACAGTCAATATGCCTCTTCCAGAAAGTAAAAACTTCATATTTGCCTCCTGCATTGCTTAAATATGCTTTATTTGGTGTTCCATCTAACCTCAGTGACATATCTCCTTTTAACTGCAATAGAAACAGTTTTTCTTTCTCCAAATGCCTGCCTCTCAATGCTCATTCAGAAAATCCTTAAACTAAAAAGATGCCTTGTGTCTTCATTGAGTTATATGTGTGTGTGTTTTATAAAACAAGTCCCTTGAAAACAAAAACACTAACTTGAAAAGATATATGCACCCTATGTTCATTGCAGCATTAGTAGTAATAGCCAAGATATGAAAGCAACCCAGCTGTCTATGAACAGACGAATAGACAAAGAAGATATAGCATATACACAATGGAACATTATTCAGCAATGAAAAAAGTGCAAAATCTTGCCATTTGTGACAACATGGATGGACCTAGCTGGTATTATGCTGAGAAAAATAAGTCAGATAGGGACAAATATCATATAATTTCAATTACATGTACAATCTAAAAAAAACAAAAACCAAAACAAATTAACAAACAACAATAGAAACAAACACATAGGTATACAGAACAAGCTAATAGTTGCCAAAGGGGAGGGAGGCAGGAGGATGGGAATAAAAAATAAAAAATAAAAATTGCAAAAAAAATAATGGCCTTAAGGAAAATAAATCAATACAAACAAGTCCCTTGAGAACAAGTCTTCCCCCACTTCAACCAGCAAAACATTGCCCCAGTCTCCACATATATCAGCAAGAAGGCATCCTTGTCTCCACATATACTAGGAAAAAAAGGCATCCTTGTATGCCTGGCACTTACTTTACTCACATAGGTTGTTTCCTCATTGCTCAGGAGTTCTATGTGGGCCTCTTTTAAAATCATGCACTTCGATGTGTTAAAGGTATTATCAATCACCTTGCAGACAGATATAATCACAATTTAGTTCTGTTTTAATTCAATATAATTTTTATTCTTCTAGTGGGAGATTTCCCCTGTTGGTCAAAATTAGCGGCTTTCCTTCCCCTCAGTCTTGCTCTATATGTGCTCTAAAGTACTGTTTATTTAGGAAGCAGTTCCAATGCTCCAAGGCATTGATCTGATTAAGAAAATTAGATTAATTTTTTTTCAAGGACAAAATAAATTGCTTTCTAAAATCCAGAGAGAGTGGAGAAAATGTATCATCTCGTAGAAAATGTAGCACAGAGTATAAAACTTTGGTCCCTGGATTAGTTATTTCTAACCTGCGGCCCACAGACAGCTTGAATTGTCTGTGAATTTACATGTGCATTAAGCATTGTTTTTAAACTGAATCAATAGTATGCATTTGTAGGTTAGGTACCACTTTTTTTTTTTTTTTTTAAAAAGCATGCAAATGCTGTTGTGATAAAATGTACTGCTGGAAGCAAGTGCAGCTGAATTCTGAGGATCTTTTCTTTTGTATTTTGTGTACAAGTGGCCACTAATAGAGGTACAATTAATACCATTGATTTGAATGAAGGTTTAATAACCATTTTGGTGCATAAAGCAATTAGGCTATTTGAAAAGGTTTGGAACCCATTGCTGTGACATCAAGAGGAGAAAACTGTATAAAATGTGGGGCAGCAGAAAGGAATGAATGCACTATAAAAATAAAATATTACTATGAAATAAGACTTTTATTTCATTCCAGATAACTTCAGTACCTCGTGTTCCAGCCAACAACTTCTCCCTTCTATTGTTTGATTTGACTCAGTTTCCTAAGTTTAGGAAAAGCCCCCTGGTCTAGAAACACCACGTAATTGATACAAAGCATCCCATCCTTCTTGCTCTAACTTCAAAAGACAGACATCAGGCCTAACCCAGTCTCACATTTAAAGATTAAATGCAGTAGCATTTGGCATAACCGCCTCAGATGGCTCAATATGTGCACTCACGTGGAAGTTATTAGGGGAGAGCCCTGTGAGGCCTGCGAGGAAAGGATGGCATACAAGGGTGGTGTTCAGAGCTGAGCAGGCTGGGGCCGCAGTTTCAGCTACAATAGGCTTGGGACCTTGCTTTGGTTTTCCTTACATTAGATGAGTATTACAATCCCCCCAAACAGAAAACACAATATTTACAGCACTGCAGAGAATAGCTGGAAGTGGGTGTTGTACACAGATTAGTGTATCTTGGCGGTCAGAGCGGTACCGTTTCATTTGTTTCGCTAAGTACTAGTTACTTCTGCTGAGAACACTGCTCACTGCTCCAGAAAGGTCTAAAACGGGAATGACAGTGGGTGGGTGTTGAGATCAGGAGGAAAGCGTCCTGAACAAGCTGCCTGAGGGGGAAGCTCACACAACACCTGCCTCCCTTATGTCCAATTCAAGTCTTTGCCACTAGGCTTAATAGCTTCCCAACAGACAGAAGGATAGCATCCAGGCAGCCCACAGACAGGGAAAGACCTTCATATAAGCAGGGAAGACACTCCTCGGAGCCGGAGGAGGTTAGCATTTGTCTCCCCTGAAAATGAAAATGGAATTAGGAAATGCCATTGGGTCACAGCATGGAGAGAATCGGTCACCGAGTTAAGGAAAGAAACCAAAGCCACAGGCGTGAGGGCAGCCCTGCTGAGGCCTTGCGGCTACGGCTGGGACAGGAGGCCTTTCAAAGAAGGGGTGGTGCTGTTTCTATGGAGACACTCCGTAGATCGCTCCTCTACCTGCTTCAGCCAGCTGATACCAAAATGCAGTTTGAGCGACGAAGATTGTAGAATCTCAGCCACAGGAACTATTTGAAATCACTTGAGTCAGACAACTGTTTTCCCAGGCAACCTCCGGTTAGTCTTCAATACAAACAACTCCCGTGGATTCCAGTTCCACTTCTTGAAGGCTTTCCAGAAAAACCTGCATAATCAGTACGTATTCTCCTGGAGCCCATGTGAACGTAATTAAAATTTCTCACCTTTTGACTCATCGACTAGTTGTAAGGTAGAGAACCTCCGAATGGGTTACTGAAGACAAATGCTTTTTGATTACACGAGAACTGGAGTTTCTGCTGACATTGAGTCTTAAGCAGCACTGCGAATTTCATCCCGCTGCCCTTCGATTCTAACTGCACCGTAAGCTAGCCAGGGAACTATTTGGCTAGCTGACACTGACCATATTGCAAAGTCTAAATGTATAGCCCTCCTTCGGATCAGCCACACGCTATGTCCCAAAAGACAACGCGGAGGAGATCAGTTTGCCTCTATTAAGCCTGTGCTTTCTTCAATGAATTAACAGAGAAAAGGACATCCTTAAATGAAATTACCTCATTAAAGTCAATAAAGGAAGAAGGCCCCATAAACTTTGGGCACGGGGTCTACTGTCTTAATAAAACTGATAAATAATCTCAAACTAAAGAGCAGAATCCTGATGGTTACTAAACTTTTCCTAAGCACATTTTAAACACCCTTTGGTTCAACGTAATCGTGACTCCTGGCTGATTAAAGAAATTCTCCAGCCAAAGTTTATTTGAAACATCGCGTTGGTACAGGAACATAGTTTTAGCTGCAATATACCAGGTGTGATTATATTCCTCCAGGAAGTACAGATGAGCCTAGATTATGTTCCCTTTAAGGAAACGTCAGGTCGAGCATCATCATTGCTTCTGTGGTCCATGCTACCAAACCGGGAATTTAAACAGCAAGTCATTTGATGCCCTTCAGCTCTACCTGGAGTGCGCACAGCTTGCCCTGGGAATATAGGGCAGCTGCGTTGCTCTGATGAGATTATTCCTTAGATGCTGGACAGATCTAAGCAGACCTAATGGTCCAGTGGGCAGCTGCTTTATTTCCACCACCAGTCCCTTTCCCTTCCTTCTTTACAAAAGCTATGGGAACCGGAGGTCACAGAGAAAGCATAGCTTTCTTTCCCTTTACAGTATTTTTCTTTGCAGGAACAACCAAGGTAAAAATAGCCAGTCTTAGTCTAGGGTGCCCAGTGTCAATGCTGCTGATACCTTCTTTATCCCATTTAGTCTCCAGACAGAAAGCTTGACGAGATCCTGATCTGAAAGTTCTTAACAAGCAGCCCGTTAGCTTTGCTGACTGTTGCGTTCATTTTGTCACCGACTGAGGATGCGCCCACTTTCAGCCTTCGCTTTCAGGCACTCACCTTTACGTCATGAAATGGTAGGTGAGACTCTCCTCTCTCTCTGGTCCTGCTGTCATGACAGAACAAGCACATTTACTTTTCCCATCAGCCCCTTCTGTCAGGCAGCCAGCAGCTGTCACCCTCAGGGCCCCCTTGCTGCGTCCTTGGGCAGACTCAGAGCCTGGTACAAGAAATAACGCTTCGGCCTTGGGAGAATGCATCCAAGTGGACTAGCGTGGCTTTGCTCTATAAATGCACGAGCCTCCAGACCACCACCTGAAACACCCTGGCATGGCTACTGTATTTTCCCCTCCAAGAGTTAGTGTAATTTGGTTGAGACCACACTCTATTTTAAGGGACTAGCAGAACAGAGACTTCCCAATGCACTCCACTGAGTGAAGAGACACTAGGGCCCCATTCACCAGCCTCCAAGGTCAGGTTCAGTAGCAAACATTTGAACAAATTAGGCCCTTCGCATCTGAAGAGCAATTCAAGCCACAGACACCTCATCAATGGGCTCCCTCCTGCTGCAGGAATGTGTACCTTTGACTCTCCCAGGAGTTTGAAGGGCTGTAAAGGAACAGCTGAAAATGACCACAGACTCCGTGCACAATGAATTAAACATGGTCTATGTTCTTTTGTTGACTTAAAGAGACACTGTCAAGATCTAAAGGTCAAAAGGTGGACCAAACATGCATCGTTTTTATCAGATACGGAAAAATCTGATAAAAGCACTTAGAATCCTGGGGGGAAAAAACTACTTTGCTTTTTGCAAAACTCACTTTTTTGTGGGGCTCACAAAACTCTTGTTTTGTGCTCCCCAGGACAGGGGAGACACCCAACAGGGGCTCCTGTGGGCGCCCACCCCTGACACTGACATTGCGGAACTCCTGCAGAAGTTCAAGTGCGGCTCTACTGTAATGCAGACGGGATCATTGCAAACATTTGTGCAACAGCAAAAAGGCAGAAAGAGAAAAGAAAAAGAAAAAGCTCTGTTTGCCAAGGAGAAGCTGACAACTCTGAGAGGGGGGAAGAATTCACTTTCGAGCTTGTGAGTGGGAGGCACAAACAAAAGCGAACCTGCAGAATCAGAAGTGTTGCATCTTGCGCCGAAACATAAAAAAGCGAAAAGACTAACAGCTTGACAGTGTCCCTTTAAGGACGAGGGACGGTCAATTTATGGCGGTCGTGCAAACCATGGCACGGAAATGGTTCCTCCTTCTGGATGGCATGCACCACATCGGTTTCCATGTTAGAAAGTGGGAAAACCCAGGAGAGAGAAAGCAAGGGCAAACCGCTCTATTCTCCATGCAGCTTCTTACACATTCACTGCAGTGTGGGGGTTTTCAAAGCTGCACATGTGCCGACGGACACTGGCTGGTGGGCGAGAATTCTGGCTGCCTCTTCCTGAAGAGTGAAAAGAGAAAGACACCCAGTGAGCGGTGGTTATACACGTGCACAGATAAGGCGATGACACCCCCGGGGCGCCTGGGCCCGGCCGGGGCCTGGCCTGGCTCCTGAGCCTGTCTCCACGTCATCTCCGCCTCGGCGTCCTGCGGCTTTGGTACCCCGGCTGGGCCCCGCTGCCAGGCCCCTTTCTGAAAGCCTCGTCAGTGGAGTGCATTCCCTTTACCTTGTGGCACTGGGTCTTTCCAAGTGGCAGATGTTATTCTGCTGTTCGTGTCTGTCCCAAATGAGCTCTCTCCCTCCCCTCTTGACACCTCCCTTTATTCCCAGAGGTGGTTCATGGATTTACATTTTACACTGCAACTGCTAATTTTCCTCCATATTATGTTATCATAAAAGCATTGCTGTCACTTTATATATGGTCACATTTGTCTCATGGCCTTCGTAAGATAGAATTGTGTCTAATGGTGGAGAGGAGGGGAATGGCAAAAGATTGAAGGCATCTGTCATAGGGGAGGATGTCATCTCATTCCTTGGTTGGATGTCTCTTTATACAGCGCCTAGGGCAATCTGGCAAGTGAGAGGAGCACTGACCAGACATGACACGGGTAAAGAGCAGTCATGGGCAGTCCACCGTTCCATTATTTGTTGTAATGAGAAAAAGTGGGTTTCCCACGAGCTACCTAGCACTTCAGAAGGTGGTGGGATCAAGCCATCTTCTTGTCACTCCACATGAGAGGGCTGCTAGTCACAAGAAAGAATTTCAGGAACAGCATGCTCAAGGTGAACCATCAGCAGGTACAGTGGTATAGGAATGAGGTTGGTTGAATTGGGGAGAATCTCCCATATTAGGGAACTCTGCAATGATGAAGTCCCCTCTAGGGCTCTCTAAAACCCCACAAATGTTCTCTGAGTCAGCATTGGATCACCTACCCCAAGATCTTGGTGAGAATGACCCAGTGTTAATCAGAAGTGGACCACAACAGCTCCAGGCAACTCAAAGACCTTTGTCACCTCTCCTGTCTTTTCCCATCAACGACAGAGAGGAGGGGAAACTCAGAAGAGAGAGGAGGCAGAGATATTGTAGGAACAGACCATGCGCCTTCCCATTCTGATTCTTTCAGGCTATGGCCTGCCATACTGGAAGGGAGAGATGTCAGTTTGAAAATTGAAACAAGAATACACTAGAATAGCTCTTTAGTACCTTAATGCAAGAAAACTGATCGCAATGTAGAAAGTAGGAATAAAATATTTTTCATAGCACAGGTGAAGTTAAGAGAAAAAATAATAAAATTGATCAATATGTGTTTCCAGCTTGAGCCATTCAATAAACCATTTGAAAATGTGTGATCTACCCAGAACAATTTGAAATCCCCATCTACAGATAAAAACTTAAAGTACCTTGGAGTAACATTATTACTCCTGCAGTAATCCATTTATTTAAGTAGACAAAGTGAATGATTACTATTGAACTTGTGAAAATAATGTTTTGATCTTTAATATGCCCACCTGAAATTAAAAGGTCATAAAACTAATGAAAACAATAGCAAGTAGAGGGTTACTAATAAAAGTGTGATGTTTGAATATGCAAAAGGAATTATCAGTAAGGCTGATCATTTAACCTGTAAAATAATATTACAACAACTCAATTTTTCATGAAAGAGGCAGAAAATATAGTCAAAGGCATTTGGCTTTGCCTTGCTAAACTGCCTGCATCCCCTTGAATCCTTTAATTTTACCTGTAGATGATGTTTCTATGATATCTGGTCCAATGGTCTGGGGAGCAGGACCCTGGCAGGGCTGGCTTCATGGCCCTGTGACTAATGCAGACACCTGGTTCCTCATCAGAGGAGCTACGTGTGTAAGGTTTAGCACTCCATGGTCATCTTTTTGAAATTCGTAATAATTTTATCTCATAATTTGTGTTTTGTAAGTGATGTTGGAGGGGAAAATGGAGCACGCACTTGGTACTTGGAGCCTCAGCTCAGGCTCAGTCTTGCCTCCCTCAATTCCCAGCACAGATTTTTGGTTTCTTGCTCTCTTGCTCCCTGGGACTTGAGTCAGTCTAGTCTCCCACTACCTTCTTCTCCCTGGGATCAAGGCCACCCTCCCTGCTGGCAGTGGTCTCTGGGCACTAGCGGGGAAAGATCAGGGTCCTTAACCCTAACTCTCCTTCCTTGACTGTTAGGGCCACTGTGTCACTGGCAGGCAGCAGGGCAGGGGCAAGCCTCTTGCCCATCCTCAATTCGGGTACCTCTCAGGTCCCTGAACTGTGGCTGCAATACCCTTAGGAGTCACCTGCCACCGGCTGAAGCAAGAGGCCCATGGGCAGGGGAGGTCCCTGGTTCAGTGTCCCACTGGCATCTGCCCAGTGATTGGCTGGAGGGGACCGTGGCAGCCCGAGGACTGTGCGTGAGCAGAGCCGCAGAGTGGAGGCTGCGGCTCCCAGAGGGGTCTGCCCTTCCCGTCAGTGCCCCCCACGAGGGAGCATGACTTCACCGGGCAAATAAAAATCACCCTGGCAGGTCGAGAGGGAGGGAACTGTGGGCCCTTACGGAGTCTCAGCCGAATCAACAGCCAAACTTCGCAGAGTAACTCAGCAATCTCACAGCCACCTTCATCAACTGTGCATTGAAATGGCAGAAAAACTAAGCAGCTCGTTTGAGGTGCCATTTCTTTAGCCTCTGACCCTCACTTTGTGTTGAGTGTAAGTGACCTGCGCATGCAGACACTGCTTCTGTGAAGGGATTGGTTCCCCTAAAGGTCACAGGCCAAGCCCTTCAAAATCCGACGCCAGAGGGGCCAACTGCATGAGAACTGGGAGAAGGAGTTTGACTTCAGAGTATTTTTAGAAACTGCAAAACCACATATTTAACCAACCACAGATTCCATGAGCCAGAGTAAAAGCTTGAAGGGAAAATGGAGCATATGGGGGCTTGTCAAATATAAGTCCCAAATCTGTGCTTGAATGTTTTGGCAGAAATGTGGATTTAAAGAGACCCCAGAAGTCTCGTTAGAAAGACTCCTCTTCAATTTCTTCTGAAAGCTCAGTTTGTTTTTATTTTCTTCCCTGTTCTTTTTTTTTTTTTTTTTTTTAATAAAGATTCACTGCTTTTTATTAACTCATGGGACTGTGTATAGCTTTTCCCATCTAATCCCATTGTCTAAACTCTTTTTTTTTTAAGTACACTCTTTGGGTGTACTTTGTTTTAATGTGTTCTTTTCCTTTAGGCGGGGTACCCACACATCAGCTTCTATGCTGGGAATTATTTTTTACATGAACTTGAGATGCTTTTACAAACAAGTTCCACTCATGATAGCAGAGCAATGAGATCACTGGACAGGACCCAGGACACCAGGTACTTTCCAACTGTGTTATTTCCCCTTTCAGACTCAGTTTCATCTTCCATGGAGGACTATTGAAACAGTATGTGTAGAAGCTTCCAAATAGCAAAATGCTATCCCAGCTTAAGTCATCACTATTGATACCTTCCCTCTGAAGGATGGAAAAGCGATAGCAGAGACAAAAGACCCAGAGGTTTTTAATCTGTGTATTTAGTTGAGAGCCATTTGGAGTATCTCAGACTACACTATACTCATAGATTTTAGGTACTTTCCTTATTTAACATCTGGCAGAAAATGAGCTGAATTCTGTTCGCTCTCTGGATTTTTTTATTTTTTTTTGGCAGGCAACATTAGTGACATTGAGTGGATGTGTCAGGAGCAGGTAAAGGCCCGGTACACAGGGTCAGGTTAGCTGCCTGTGTCTGAAGTTGCATGTCTGTGATTGGTTTGCAGGTGAATCTATTTTTAGCACAGATAAAATGGCCTATGCAATTCCAGATGGTCAGCTCACTATGGAAATAATAATGTGGCAGCTGTCCAAAGTAATCATAAAGATTGACAGCAAATGGTCTTGACCGTTTTGGCAGACTGTTATTTGTTTTACAGATTAATATGATCATTTTTACTCTGTTTTCAAAAGTTAAATGCGTTTTTTCTATTATCTGAATTTAAATATTTATTTCTCAGCATCCGTTTGTCAGAGCGGAGAATGGAGCTCTGACTGTGTGTAGGTCCTCTCTAGAGGCTAATGTCTTCCATTCTTCCTTCTAACACATACACATCTGACATAGTCCATTAAGGCTCTTTGTAAACACACACAATGCAGTCTCTCCATATAGGTGTAAAATATTGCTCTATTTTTAAAATTCTTAATTATAAAGATTTCCAAGCTAATAAGAGGCTATAGAGAATGATTTAGTAAAATTCAATTAACATCACAGATTTGTCAATATTAACATTTTGCCTTATTAAAGTCCCCTTCTTTTGAAAACATTGAGAATATACTTGAAGCCCTCTGAATACTGTTCCTAACACATATTTTTTCCTTTTTAAGGGATTCTTTAGTATGTATTATCTCTTGGCATATTTAATACCTTTACAACATGCATATCCATATGTGTTAACTATCTGTGGTAGTGTTCAGCATATTATTAGACTTTATATACATAGCATCACACTGTATTTCCACTCAGCAATTTGCTGCTTTTACACAGTAGTGTATTAATAAATATAGCGTTAGTTTATTCACTTAAGGTAAATTGAGTAATTATCACATTATAAAAAATAATTCTCCTACTGATAGTCATTTAGGTTGTTTCCTACAGTTTCCTATTTCGAGCAATGCTGCAGTAAACATTCTTGGTTAAGTCTCCTTGCACACATATGGGAGATTTTTTCTATGGTAGGCACCTAGATTTAGAATTTGTAGATTGTTGTGCACGCACATTTATTTTTCTTAAATATTGCCAAATTGCTTTGCAAAGCGCTTCCACAACTTACACTAATAGGTAAGAATTCATATTATTCCTTCAAATTCTGTTTTTCAGACATCCTTAAAGTTGACTATTTGTTATGAAAATTTTCAAAAATATATAAACATAGAGAAAATGTTAAACTGAACTCCCATATCCTTAGTATACAGCTTCAATAATAAC